ATCATGACCCCCGGGGCTAGGGTGGGGCCAAAATGGCCGACCCAAGTTTTACATAAGGATATATAGGGAAACCTTTTAAAATCTTCTTTTCAAGTACTTCAAAGCTTAATATGATTAGTGATATTTATATGGAATCATCCTCAGGTAGTGTAGATTCTAGTTTGTTCAAATGATGACCACCTGGAGGGGGGGGGGGGGGGGGGCCGGGGCAGAGTTCTTGAAATCTTTTTTTCGCTGTCAGTCATTTGGACCGACTGCCATGTGAAGTTTGTCAGTCCAGACAGATTTCTATCAGTCCAAAATAAATTCAATAAAAACATGGAAAAAAAATTGTATTTAAATTTCATTATCAATAAACGCATGGCGTCTATATGAACACTGCACACTTCTTACCCTAGCGCCAAGAAACTTGTTAACAGTTAACCAATAGTTTGGCGCAAGTTAGAATAATAACAGTTATACTCTCAATGTAGCAAATAGTTACAGAATTGCTCCGAAACGAATTTGAAGTATAGGAAAGGATATGCACTGGAAATAACTTCAAAATTAATTACAACAAACCTATTTTTTAGGTCGCGTATGTCTTTAAACCTAAATTATGATCCAAATAAAGACGATAATTCAACTAATTTTCTTTACGTTTTTTTCTCGCTTCTTACACGCCATGTTTGCATTCGGAACTCTCTGGAATCTTCGCTGTAAATGTACTGAGTTCGAGTCATTGCCGGTGTTTATTTTACGACATAGTAAATATACGGAACAAAGTCTATTATTAAACTGGTCCATAGGACATTTATCATTTTAACGATAGAACATTGTCTCTTAATTTGCACTTGTATTAATCAAGAAGCCATTACAACATGCAGAAAAAGAGTTTGAAAGATAACGATCGATCGATTATAGGGAATTTGTACGAAATTTAGTCGGATTTTCGCAAGTTCTCTGTCAACACCGTCCGGTCATTTGGACTGACACAGAACGGAAAGTAATTGGTCCTTGGTTGTTTCTATCGGTTTTGCCGACAGGACCGAAAGATTTCAAGAACTCTGGCGGGGGGAGTAAATTCAAGCCCGATGTGCTCAGGTGAGCGCTGTGGCCCCTGGGCCTCTTGTTTACCATTATCATGATTATGTCATGAAATTTGGTGTTGGGGATATTGCCACAATACTATTTACTGATATTAAGTTACGATTTTTTCTGGTATATAAGGTTGGAAAAGATTTTTTTAGTCAAGGAGGACTAAGGTGATTTAAATAAATCTTGTTAAGGAAAGAAATGGAAAAACCCTAATTAGCTCCCTTTCAAAAGATTTTTAGAAAGATAAGAGGTATTATTTGAAACTCAAATCATTTTCCTTGATTTCTGAAAACAGAAATTGACTTTTAAGACTTTATTTAATTATTGAACACATGGCCACATCTTAGCTGAAATGCAAAGTTTGTATTTTTACATTTGATTAATATAGGTAGAAATGGGAATGAAGAACCATGAACTGGTTCCCTCTCCGCTGGTGGCATCCATTGCACATCTTCATGGTGGAGGCTGTCACAAGGTGCTCAGAGAACTCAATAAACACAGACTTGTAGCTTACGAGCATGGTGGGAAAAGATGTAAGATTTACTATGATTATAGCTTTTTAAATTGCAGACCATACAAAATTATTTTTAATTTTTCAACCTTAATTTAAGAAAGTTTAACCCACAGTATAGTCTTGTCATTTTTATTCATGAACTGTTTTACTTGAATTACAGTTGAGGGCTATAGATTAACGGTATCGGGGTATGATTACTTGGCGCTGAAGGCCCTGGCCAGTAGAGATGTTATATACTCTCTAGGCAATCAGATAGGAGTGGGCAAGGAATCAGGTGAATACAGCATCTGGAGTACTATAGCTGCAATAATGTACCCCTCTCTGACTCTCTGATTTTTCTGTGGTTTTTTTTTGGTTGGTGGGGGATATCAGAGAAGGTTTCATTATCGCAGCTATATTACTAATATGTAAAACTTTACAAATGATGTCTATGATGTAGGAGGTTAACAGTTAAAATTGACACCCAAAGGAAACCAATTTTCAAACGATGTGTTAGCAAGATGTGTCAGAGGAGGTGACAATGGTTTTCGTTGTGATGTCAGTTTCAACTGTAACCCTCCAAAACAGGCACCATTTATTTTATTATACTGTAAATCTAATTGATTTAGGGTGTCAGCAAATTTTTTTTAAAAAATTGTTGATCATCTTTACTATCATATTTTAAACCTTTCAAACTCCCCATTTCTTTTTTTCTCAATAAGGGAGCTTTGATTTGCTAACTTCTTTTAAATTAATGTTTGATACTTAAAAAGTCCTTTATCCTATTGAAATTGTTTTAAATATTTTTTTTGACAACCTTCATCATTGTTAAAAATGTACAGTATATTTATAATTCAGAAAAAGAAATTTAAAAGTTAATTATTTTCTTTTACAGACATTTACATAATAGCAGATAATGAAGAACACCAGTATGCCTTGAAACTTCACAGGTAATCAATAGGTCTTAAAATACTCTTAGGTTACTCAGAAAGGTGTCATGTTAGAACTTAAAAAAAGAAAAAGTTTTGTAAATAGCATCTTTCTTCAACCTATAGTTTTTCAAGTCTGCTCAAACCATTGGGCCAAACAGGGTTGTATAGATTGATGATTTGTATTTTACAGGTTAGGACGGACTTCTTTCCGACAACTGAAAAACAAGCGAGATTATCACAAACACAGGAACAATGTATCCTGGCTCTACCTGTCTCGCCTGGCAGCAATGAAGGAATATGCTTATATGAAGGTATACAATGCATAAAAATTTCTTAAGAAAAAAATTGCCGGCTTAATAATCATGCAGACAAATAAAAGGCAAAAAATTCTGCATTATCCTTTCATGAGTAGTTGAACATATAAAAAGACATTTGTTAAGATTGACACTTGAACGTAGAATTATTTTTCTTGTACTTAGGCACTGTATGACAGAAAGTTTCCAGTTCCTAAACCAGTTGATTTTAACAGACATGCTGTTGTAATGGAACTACTCAGTGGTTACCCCATGTAAGTTTTGATACCTCTAATATAAATTAGAATGTTACAATGCATGTATTGTCGGCCCTATAGCATCATTAAAGATGTAAAAAAAAAAAATTCAGTGGTAACCTGTTTATTTGCAGAATAGAATGTACTACTCAGTGGTTACCCCATGTAAGTTTTGATACCTCTAATATAAATTAGAATGTTACAATGCATGTATTGTCGGCCCTATAGCATCATTAAAGATGTAAAAAAAAAAAATTCAGTGGTAACCTGTTTATTTGCAGTTTGTAGTAATTGCATTTACCTGCAAAGAAGAAAATATACATTTAGGGTTAAGAATAATTAATAGTAATACATGTTTCCAAAAATCTTCCAAAAGAAGTTGTCGTCTTTATGCAATTGCTATTCTTCAGAATATATTCTGGAATACCTATCCTGATGCTTATTTGTAGTACATGAATATTAGCACCATTTTGAAAAAATAGGTCAAAGGTCAAGGTAAAGGGTCAATGACAATGAGGTCAGTAACCATAGTATTTCATGAAAACCATAGTGCCAAGCTATATAATTACCGTATGTGTGCAAAATATCAGATCCATACATTACCTTGAACATTTCTGGATGGAAATGTAAGGTGTGTAAAGCTATGCCTAAGTGATGTCCTGCTCTGCACGTGACATAAAGGGCACTTTAAAGGGGGTTAATAATGAAAAAAGGACATTTTTTGTGTTGTATTTGCATTTTTATTAAAACAATGTGTTAATTAAGAAATGAAAATCATTCAGAATGAATTGCAGCTAAACAGTAATGTTGTTTCAGGTGTAATGTGAAGAGTGTGGCAGACCCAGGCCGGGTGTACAATGATTGTATGGAGCTGATCGTCAGACTCGGGAACTGTGGAGTCATTCACGGAGATTTTAACGAATTCAATCTGATGATTGACGATGATGAACATGTTACAATGATTGATTTTCCACAGATGATTTCAACATCTCATCCTAATGCTGAATGGTAAGTCCTTTTTAGTTTTTCAGGAGAATTAAACAGGGAAAATATTCCTTGCTGAATTATATTTGGTTCAGTCAAGGTCAATTTATTACTGGAAAACCAGACAAGGTCAAATCATTGTTGGAAAGGAAAGAAAACACATGTATTTCTGCTAAAATGACACCATTTAAAGTTATGCTTTGTAAATTAACATTTTGAAATTATATCTATGTATAAAGTTGTTGTTGGAGAAAGGTTTTTTTTTTCTAGGAAGATAAAAATGATCCAGCTGATTGGTTGTCTCGGGATTCCTCTATATTTTATTAACTCGTGTGTTATCTGTTTCAGGTATTTTGACAGAGATGTGAACTGCATAAGAGATTTTTTTGCCAGGAGATTCCACTATGAAAGTGAACTTTTCCCAAAGTTTTCTGATTTAAGGTATAATTTTTTCTTCAGTTATAAAGTACAGTTGAACTTTGGTATCTCGAACTCTGATATTTCAAAAGACTTGAATACCATGGATATGTCAAAATAATGTGAAAGTCCCAACCACATATTCTTTAAGTATTTTGTCCTCAATATCTGGAATCCTCAGATATCTCAAAGTTTTTTCTCAGCCCCATCAGGTTTGAGATAACAAAGTTTGACTATATTTCTAAATAGCACAACAACAAAAAAATGAAATAGAAACATAATGTTTTAAAATTTTTCTTCCTGCCCCATTTTGAAAACTGTTAACAAAGTTAGTAAAGGAGGGATGTACATGTATTAGCTTACATGTTTCAGTGTGGGTTATGCATCTTACATACCTGTTTGTTGATCTTGTAGAAGAGATGATGATCTAGACGTGGAGGTGTCAGCCAGTGGATTTACAAAAGAAATGGCAGAAACATTTGATGAGGTATTGTAAAATTGTCAACTCAAATTACATGTACAGAAATCTTCCTGTAAATCAAAGTCAATTTTATCAGAGAGATGCAAAGAACTTCACAATTAAAATGTTTTGAAGAAACAAAAACTTATTTGTAAAATTTGTAATCTTGGGCTTCTTCTTCCATAACTGTAATTTCATTTCCAGGCTGCTGAGGATTACAATATCAGAGGAGGCCCTGATCAGCCCAGAACTAACGATACTGACGATGATTCTGACGAGGACCCTGAGGACGATGATAATGTAGATGAGGAGGAAGAGGAGAAAGATCCACGAGATACAAACCCAGCTGAGGACAGACTTCATCCTCCTGTAAGTGAAACAACAAAGAGTGAACACATGGAAGATGTTTCTCCGAGTGGAAATGACAGAGTTGGTGACAATGGTGAGGACATTTCATTAAGAAACAGTTTAGGTGGTAGTGACGAAGAAGATCTAGAGGACCTGCATAACCAGAATAGGACTTTAAGGCCATTCAGAAACGAGGAGAGTCTAACACACACCAATTCACACAGAAGGAAACATTTAGAGAGTACTAGTGTTAGTGTGACCAGTACAGCATCAAGCATGGACCCCAGTCTGATAAAAGCGAAAGTAAAACAACAGATGAAGAAGAAATCTGCTGTACAGGAAGCTAGGAGGATAAGAAAAAGAGGAGAGTCTGCAATTATTACCAAGAAGAAGAGGGAAATTTCCCAAGATATCAAGCAAAGTGTTCATGGAGACTGGTTTTAATTCTTTAAGTAGAATTTGAGAAAATAATATTTGTTTAGTGCAATTGATGTAAACTTCTGAAATCTAATTTTCATGGGGGTTTAATTCTTTTCGTGATTTAAAGACAACCAAAATTACATTCCCTACAAAGTGTTGAATTGCCATAAATTGCCAATCATCACTTCTTCAATCCCCCCATAAACAATATTTTTTCTCCAGCCATGAAATACTTGACCCCATAAAAATGATTAATTTTACAGTATATTTTGTTTTGAACATTCTGATGATTTAAAAGTTGGCATTATTAATACTGAAATGCAAATGTGTCTGATTTCCTCATGCAGAAAATAAATTCTACCATATACATGTAAAGTTAAATTGAATAATGTTTTACCATTGATATAGACTAAAGATACTGAGTACTTATTCTGATTTATTTCTATAGTCATAGCTATAAGGTCACGAGTTCAAACTGTAAATGCACTTTTTTCCAACTTTAACTGCAGAACTGTACCTCTCTGAGAAAATTCGGACAGATAAAGCAGAGAGCTACAGAGCCATGCGCTGTAAAAACGTCCGATTTACGCTGATGATTTTTTGTAGCTCACTTCAGGTATTATTTCTTGTAGTTTATGCTTTTTTTCACGCTCTTTGAATGATATCCGATAATTAATCATACATTTTACTCCAAGTATTGATACTTGTTTACCTTTCAATGGTCTGAAACAGCCCTCTCTGGATTTGGAATGTTGGTTTAAAAGACTCCAATTTTTACGTCCACCTCCACAAACGACCTTCTTGAACTTTAAAGGTAAATAATCATTAAGGAATAGGAATTAATTTTTTTTAATTATGAGATATCATTTATAAAGCTAAAGAAAACAGAGAAATATAAGAAATAAAACCTGAAGTAAGCTACAAAAATCGGCTAAATGATTATCTAAGAAACAGTACTCACTGCTATATGGCAAAAAATGCATGGTTAGGCACCTAATTTTTTGGTGAGCAAACCATTGGCGTCGGAAGCAAAAAAAAAAAATGTAATGTCTGTTGAAAGTGGAGGGTACACACGTCCAAATTTTCAATGCCTTGTCGCAACCCACTTTGAAAAAATTACGCACTTTGAAACAAATTTTCAAAGTGCGTTTAAATTGGAACAAAATCAACGCACTTTGAAAAAATTTTCAAAGTACGGTAAGAGTTTACATCTACATATTAATTTTACCATTGAGACAATTATCGTAATTTGAAAAAAAATACATGTATGTATATAAAACAAAAATTCTGGACTTAGACATTAGTAACGTAATGGGATGCATTGATTTGTAATTTATTTTTCGAAAAACTTGTGAATTAATTTACTCCAGTCCTGTCGAAAAGAGGAGAAGACGAGTAGGTCTCTCAGCCCAACTCTTTCTCTTTCCAGGCCAATACATAGGCGTTGGTAGCAAATTAAACAGGGAGGGGGGGGGGGGTAATAAACCCCAAAAGGGTAAGCCGCACTTTCAATGCCTATATGATGAATACTAGTATCTTCATAAAAAAGTGGGGACTAAGCCCCCCTCCCCTTGCCCTTTGCCTGGTTTCGATACCTATGCTATACCCAAAACATGTATATGCACATGTATTTACATAACTGGTATATGTATGACGATGAAAACTTTCAATAAACGAGTTAACTTAAAACAGATGAAACTATAATTTTCAGTACAATAAAACGTATTAGAAAGTTCGAAATCCCATTGAGCTCATTTTGGTAGGTTAAAAAATAATTTTTTTTGCGTAATATAACGCGAAAGTTACGCGTTTATTCAAAAAGTTTCGCGTTATAATGCGAAAAATTTATTTTTTTAACCTATGAAAATGAGCTCAATGGGCGTTCGTAACTAATGCGCTTTCGTAAGAAAGAAGAAAATTTCATAGTATTGAAAGATCAAAATCAAATCGCCCCCTTTTTCTTAAGAAAAATGCGTTTCTAACAAGTCTTTGTTAAACTTTTACACCCCCCCCCCTTCTGTTATATCATCTACCGAACTTATTATAAAATTTAATTTTAGAATTTTTAAAAAGAAACGAAATTATGATATTAAACAATCGTCTCTCCATTTTTTCTCTAAAAGACCCATTTCCCTTTTATGACATTTATCGAATAAACCTAAATATTTAAAACGTCAATATCTCATGATGTCCAAGGTCCTGAAGTGACCTTATCACCAAGAAGTTATCAATTATTCATCATCCCGAAAATTTGTAAGAATATTGATCAAGCTATACACATTTTTTTCAAAGTGCATTAATATTGTCGATATTTAAAAAGCAATTTGAAAAGAAATTTCAATTTTTCAAAGGGTGTTAGCTTAAATTGTTCCCAAATCTAACGCTCTTTGAAAACAAATTTCGAAGTGCGTAATTTTTCAAAGTGCATTGTAACAATGCCTATATTATGCCTATCTTTGAAAAAAGTGGGGAGGGGCCGGGGGAGTCTCCCCCGGTTCGACGCCTATATATGTAAACATATTCAAATAGCAATTCTTCAGTGACAAAATCTTGGGGAAAAAATTATAATTTTTTTAGGAAAGTTGGAAGAGAGATGTCACCTCACATTTCTATGATAATAATATTTTAAAAATCATATTTTTCTTAAATTTCATTGTTGTAATAAAAATCTTCGTCGGTGAACTGATTTGCTATTACGAATATTTGGTCGGGAACGTTGTACTTATTATTATTAACCACAAAAATAAGGATGTCGTGTACAAAATGTAAAAGTGACGAAATGTGAAAGATAAGACTGTAGTAATTGTTTTATGTTATATTTGCGCAGGATAAGACAACAACATGGCAAGGAGAGGGCAGAATCTTGGTGTGTTTTTACTTGTGATGCAAATAATGAATATTGGTATAGAAAATATACCACCAGTTACTTTAATAACGACGATCCTTCAAATTGCAATATTTCTAGAAGTAGGCGATCTTTTTCGATGGTTTCCCTCGCCAAGTCATGTATGTATAAGTGCATTCAACGTATGGGATAGAAAAGAATGGAACCGAATTATTCTTGGTTCTCTATACCATGCTCACGATTTTCATCTTTACTATAACATGGCATCATTCCTCTGGAAAGGACGGATACTGGAAAGACGTTTCGGAAGTTCGTACTTTGGATTTCTCTTGGCAGTGTTTACAGTATTAACCAGTGTTGTGTATGTAGCAATTAGCATTGCTCTGTCAGAACTCCTTGATGACAGATCTTACAGAATGACCTGTGCTGTTGGATTTTCTGGAGTCATCTTTGGTTTGAAAGTTCTAGTAACTCATTACAGTCCCTCTGGTACCCAGTATGCCCTGGGATTTATACCAGTGCCGAGCAAGTACATTTTCTGGGCAGAACTTGTCCTTATCCAGTTAATTACCCCTAATGCCTCATTCGTGGGTCATTTGGCAGGAATTCTTGTTGGAATGCTATACATTAAAGGACCATTAAAAATGATCATGGATAGTTTTCTGCAGCCTTCTGATTACAGACGCTTCTATGGTGGAGGCTATTCAAGAAATAATTACTCGGGCTACAGAAACCAGCCAGGATATGGAAATAACTACCCTGGTTATGGAAATGCCGGGTACAGTGATTACACAGGAGGCTTGTCTGAGGAGGAGCAGATAAGAAGGGCCCAGGAGGAAAGCCTCCGAGGGACCAGAAATTCTGAGAGACTTTATCCAGACCTTGATGAATTAAGACAAAGAAGAGCTGATCGATTTAACTAGTGTTAGAATACCAAGCAGACTATAAACTCCATTTACTTTGTGGAACCCCTATCATACATATTTTTTATAAAGAGAAAATTCTTCTACCATGATGTCTATGTTCATCTTCTTTTTTACTTATACTGTGCAAAAAGCTTTGTTGAATGTTTTATTAAAGTTATGGAAATGATTGAGATTCAGTATCTTTTTTTCTGATAAACACTGGTCTGGATACATGTATGTGTAGAGTGTACTGATTTCTCCTTGTACATATGTACATATATGCATGAAAACAATTACTATTATAGTATTCAAATTCTTGAACTTTTCATCAAATGCTATTCATAAACCTAACAACAAGCTAACTTATAAGTGGAAAATTATTTTCTATGCCTGTGTCTTTAATTTATAAATGAAGTCATGAACCTCCTAAAGAATGAGGGTGCTCTTGATTTACTTTCAGTAGAAATCTGGGTGCACTTACAAAGTGAAATATTCATTGGTTTGACTAAAGAATTTTAATTTTAGAATTCTTGAGACTTTTCTATCCTCAACTTACCATATCGTAGGAATGTCACTTATTACCTGCATTTAAGATTTATATCTCTCAGCTGATTCAATATGCAAGAGCATGCTCTGGGTAGGAACACTTTTTAAAATGAGGTAAGTTATTGATAAACAAGTTGATGAAACAAGAATAGCAATCAACAGTCTCGTTTAAACTAGAAATTAAAATTTGCAATTTAAATATTCTCATGATTTTTACCTTGTCAGCAAATACAAATAATATATCAATAAGTCAAATGCTGACAGAGACGTTTTAAATGCTAATGGTTAAGCTATTATTTGTATTTAGACAATGAACTGCCTACAACATTTTCCGTTTTCTGCCAATCATGCCAACGAGCACACGGTGGGTGACACCAAGCGACAGGGGATGCTCATTCCTTCGTGGTATCTGATTCCACCACTGATGCTTCAGTGGTCCGTGTTTGCGCTGTTTCTATTTTTATAGTTTGAATGGACTTTTGAGCTTGAATACTGTTAGTAATCTTCATTATTTATTTGAACACGTTCTTCTAAAAATTTCATATTTCGGGGTCGTCGCTCCTTGATACTAAAATGTTATTAATTAGTGTACATTTTGTGAAGACAAATGCAAACAATTTTAAAACAAGAATGGAGAGAAGACCCAAAGGCCATAAAAAAGAACCTTTTCCCCCAAAATATGGTGCCTTATTGTCATTTTACATAGCGATGGTACAATGTAGTGTAGCCTTTATCCATAACACTCTGAATCAGGATATTTTAGTTCGATCCATACATACAACATTTTATACAAATACCTTTTTTTCCGTTTAATTTGTCAATTTAGTATCATATATTGATCTATTAAAATGTCGAAACAGATAAATTATGATTCAGTTGAACCAAAAGAGACCTCAAGCAATTTATTAAACAGACTGAAACAATCAAATTATGAGTTTTTTTTTTAATTCAACTTTACCCTGTTATCTTATAGATATTATTATTTATGCCACAGGCCTTTGGATCGCTTCAATTCAAACATACCTAATAAAGCACAAAATACACAACATCTCATAGGACACTAATTTAGAGCCCAGAACAGACACGTATTAGATTATTACAATAAGCACAAAGGTGCCTTATTCTCTATTGAGAAGTTAATGACTCGTTTTAATACACCCCCCCTCAAGTATTAAGGGGGAATATTAAAACGAGTCATTAACTTCGCAATAGATAGAGAATACAAGGCGCCTACGAATTTACCACTGAGGTCCGCTACAAACCTCTTATTTGTGTTAAAAAATCTAATTTTCGAATAATTATATTCAAAACTCTTGGTAATGTATGTCATTTTTAACAAAGAACATCAGATGATATATTGATTTTTATTTCAAGAATATCTTAGAAAAATTATTAGCGGTTAAAAATCAAATAGTTTTACCTTCTTCACATTTTAACGTCAGGATCAACATTTGGTCTGGTTTTGGCGGGACTGTCATGTTTTCAGTTTTGTTGATTGCAGAGTGAATCAACTTTTCTCACATGTTATCAAGAATGATACTCCGTAATGGGGTGCTGTGGAGGCAGAACAGATTTTCCAAACATTCTCCAAAGTTTTTATCAAGAAACTGTAGCATGTCAACTCGATCTTTCATTCGTAAAGTATTGGAACACTATTCTCAAGAGAAGGACGACGTTTATTTTAGTCCAAGTTTCTCTTTGGGAAAACTTTTTTTCCGTTGCACAGATTGATGCTGGGCAACTCTTTCTTGACAAAACAACAAAAGTATTATTGAACCAGAGAAAATCTACAACAACAAAATTTCGAAAGGAGAAGCACAGGGACTTGCTCCTGGCGTGTAAAAAAATATTTATTAAAAAAAAACCCGATATACTAGCCTATAAAACTATAGTATATCGTTTTGTTTTTTTAAAATAAATATTTTTTACACACCAGGAGCAAGTCCCTGTGGGAGAAGTTTACATGCCAAGCGAATCGTTCAGGTCTTTATACCGTAGAGGATTCCACTTTCTAGAGAGAGTTGCTAATGACACCAAGTCGGTGAGGAATTGGATTAATCTTAATGATTCGAGTTATGAAAATGCGTGGTTTGCATTAGGGACATTGAAATTCTTTCTGGAAAACTTGGGTAGGTCTATTTTATGGAGTTGATTTAATATGTTTTGTCTATGTTTTATTTATCATGATTTAATTTGATGAAGAAAAAACTAACCACCTACCCAAGAAATTAAAAAAAAAGGATCCTCTAAAGAAATGGAACGCTAATATCCCTTTGTTGCCCTTTTAAGAGTTTCCCAATGAAAAATCTAATATTTTCTGGATTGATTGAAGGATTGTATTTTGTTAAGCATTTTTATTATACCCCGCTTGAAAAGAGGGAGGGTATATAGTAATCGGTATGTCCGTCCGTCCATCTAGCTGTTATGCTTTGGGGTACCAGTCTCTTATCCGCAACTCCTCTCAAACCACCGTATGAAATTTGATGAAACTTTCACAGAATCTTTATTACATATTGCCATTGTGCACCTCTTATTATACTTTTTGATCCGACACATATTTTGGGTTTTCTACAGCAAAACATGGGTATTTAGTAATCGGGATGTCCATCCATCTGTCTGTCTTAACGTCCGTCCGTCAGTCTGTTATGCTTTGGGGTAACTATCTCTTATCCGCAACTCCTCTTTTAACATTGAGTGAAATTAAATTAAACTTTCACAGAATCTTTGATATATATTGCCATTGTGCACCTCCTATTTTACTTTTTGATCGGACACATCATTTGGGTTTTCCAGAGCTGCAAAACATTGAAACTACCATTTTTTTCTGTAATATTGAAAGGTACCCATCTCTTATCCGCAACTCCTCCTATACCACTGAATAAAATTTAATGATATTTTCACAGATTCTTTATTACATAATGCCATTGTGCACCTCCTATTTTACTTTTTTGATCTGACACTTATTTCGGGTCTCCATGAGCAAAACAGGGACTTCGTCATTGTAATCATATGGGAGGCGGGGGTATCATTTAGTGAGCTAATTGCTCACAGTACTTCTAGTTTACCTTTGCATTGAACATATGGCAAAAGAACCAATGTTTCTTTATTGTTCTGGTTACTGTATCTTTACAAATAAATATTGACTGGTGTATGATTAAAGGTCAGCATTAGTTTGTTATTGACTGCAGCATTTTATATTTTCAATTTTAGAAAAGCATGAAGAAAGTCTAAGAGAGACAGTGACTGGGACACTGAAAGAAGATGAAGTCAGGGCTGTTCTGGTGAATCATTTGTTGTCCCAGCTAAGTCCAACTAAAACATTTGACATCACAAGTCTAGCTGAATACAAAGCCTCCAGATGTTCATGCCAAAACAATTGTTACGATACCATAAACTATTCAAGAACTGGATTAGGTATGCCAGTAGTATCACAATTTCATCTCTCTTTTTCTCTCTCTTGCCGTATACACATAATTACAGTGTATGTATATTTAGTGAAGAAAAAATAATTTATCTAAACATAATTTAATAGTTTTTGCAACATTGGCATATGCAGAGATCATACCACAACCACACCAAATGATTAATGTATCTCCTGTATAAGCTTACAATTTCAAAACAATACTGACCAATATAAGGTCTTATTTATCACAAATTCTTTATTCATTAGACTAATTTTGATATTAGGTAAAAGATTTACTATTGTTATGTTTATTTCAGGTTCTGTTCACCTATGGTATGGCTATCCAGATGTTGTTTTGTATCCTATGCCTGTTTTTAACAGTGATTTAAGCTGTCCATTAGTGTTCTCTCAAAATCCAGCTGTGTGCTTTAAAACAGATGATGAAAGTGATGAAACTTGTGATTTCTACAGAGAGGAACACATTCTTAGACACCATTCATCTCAATGCCTAACTCAGGCGATTACTTTTTCTCTCTATATGAAAAATGTATGGAGTAATAAGGCAAATTCACCCTTAATTTTGAAATCTACGCCTGTGCCTACTATTGCAGTTTCCCCTGAAGATTTTGATGTTTATTTATATGAATCAGATAATGACGTACTTCTAAGAAATATTGGACCGCCAATTCTTATGGCGTAATACCTCCCAGAGCCCTTCAAAATGGAAGCTTAGACTGTCCTCTATTCTCAAACTGTGGATGCTCTCTCATTCTAGTCTCTTTGCTCCTACATTGACAGAGAAGAATATAATAGCCAATACATGTCAGTTACAAGAACAAGTTGGCAGGGAAAAAATGAAGATGATACTGGATGACTTGCACATGGGCAATATTTTTAGGTTGTCAGAAATAGAGGAATTTGATAACTTGGAAAAGTAACATTTTTATGACATGTTAATTGGATTTTTGAAATATGAAAAGTTTAAAATATATCTTTTAAATTGAATATTATTCTTCAATCTTTTCTATTACATGTTTGTAACAACTGCTTGGAATATGGATTTTTTAAAGTAGGGAATATTTTTAATTACCACAATAACAATAATATGCCATGAACTTGTGTTGGACAGAATATCTTCTCTGTGTTAAGACTGAAGTGAACCTTTTGATCAAATTTGTTTGTTGTCTGCCATTGTTCTTGTCTGTGAACTTTTGAAAACTTTTTAGTTAATCTTCTCCA